TCCGATCTCGAAAAGCTGAACATGTCCGGGAAAAACCGGACGTATGGTAACCCTAGACAATGGGAGCTGTGGGGGGCGGCACTAGGGGCAGGGACAGCGTGTGGAGCGGAGCCCCCTGGCTGCCCCAAGCATAGGAGCTGTAGGGGAGACATGCCGCTGCTTCCGGGAGCCGTGCGGAGCGGCCTCCGACCCTGCTCCCCGATTGGAGCGCCGGAGTGGGGCAAGTCTCAGACCCTGCTCCCCAGTGGGAGCTTGAGGGATGGATTAAAATGGCTGGCGGACCGAATCCGGGCCGCAGGCCGTAGTTTGCCCACCCCTGTTGTACACAGTGGTGCAGAAATGCTGGCTGTGGGGTAGCTACTAATGACTCCTGCTCCAAACTTCCCCAGTGAGGAGAAGCCTATAGCAAGTGGCTTTAACAGAAGGTGGGGGTGTCAGGTGTGCTGAGGTGGGTCAAAATAAGGAAGATCATTAACACCAAATTTAATTAAGCTTCCCACTTCAGAGGTTGCTGTCCCCCTGATGCAAACAAGTAGCAGATTAACAATACCTGTTGCCTCCAGTTTCTTCAGCCTGTTAGCTTGTGCCCAGGCAGAGAGAGTCTCTTGATTTTGCTTCCTGGTCCCACTGGGAGTTCCCTTAGTGGCTTTTTTTGTGTGCAGGTGAATAGGTTAATGCCTGAGGTGGGGCTTCCTAGAGCCTTTCCAATCGGTCTGGTTTCTCAGCTCGCAAAGAAGAATTTCCTGTTTGGGCTGCACTGTACAGAGACACGGTGATCCTTGCTGTGAGCCACCAGCTCCGTGTGCTGAGCTGAGGGCTAATGGGCCCCACAATAATGGGTCCTTTTCAGATTCTGAGGTAGGGAGAGGAATCAATAGACCCAGGAGAAGGGCTCAGCTGTTGCTAAGGTGGGAAAAAGGGAGGCTGGAAACAAAGAGGTAAGTGGTTTCCTTCCCCTTATATAGCTCCTACCTGCTTATCTGATACAAAATGACTGGCCAAATTCCACTCTGTGTGCAACCCCATTGACTTCTATAGGAGCTGTAACCTAGATCCCAGTCTGCCCTCAAGCTCAGATGTATCTCCCTCAGTGATAATGAGTATCTCTCTCCTGGGAAATCCCAGAACGAAGCCAAGTTTTATTCTGTACAATCAGCTTAGTGCCCGGTGGCTTCGGTATATTCATTCCTGTGCACAGCATTCATTTCCTGCCCATTAGGGGATGGCTGGAGGGGCTTGTCTGCAGAATGTTAAGCGTTCAAAGGCTAGTGGGCAAATATGGATTTTTGCTAGTTTCAGCTCTATTGTTTACTGCAGTCACCCACAGAATAAGCAGAATTGTTCATTGTCCAACTTTGGTGGTCAGAATAAAGGTATTTCCTGTATATTTATTCTGTCTCCGATCAAATGCACTGCAAAGCAAATAGTACTGTTGTACAACGATGGTGTAGCACCTTCCATCTTGATGGGACCCAAAGTTCTTTACAGACAATATACATACAGCTCTGTTGAAATGCAGCCATCTCGCCGACTGGCAGGCCAATAACTATCTAGCATGCAGCATACTGCCTGATGGGGTTGAGGGGAGAGGAGATTTGGGGAAAGGAAATCAGTTCCATGCTTCACTTCTATGCAAACTATTGAGGGAAGTTGTATAAAGTCTAGTATAAAGTTGGCCATTTGAGGAAAGATTTCAGAAATATGTGCTATGACATGACCTTTTATGTGTCACTGCATATTTTATATATCATGGGGCCAGATCCTGCCCGGGCATAAATCAGCATAACTACAGATTAGAACTACCCCATTTTTCACCAGCTGACAATCTGGCCATTGAAAGCAAAGATTCTGGGCCAAATCCTTGGGTGGGCCCATAATACACACAGCACAACTCAGGGAGAGTGGAAGTGGGTGAAGACGTCCATAAGAGCAAGCTACAGCAGTCTGAAGGTGGCTTTGATTTACACCATCTACCCATGGTGCTAAGGGGCCATTCCAGCACCTGGGGATCACTGTGGGATAGGGACACCAGGACTATGCCCCCTTTTCCACATGACCAGAAGTGGGGGCAGTGTACGGATTGTTATGGCAACTTGCCCCCTGAAGATCCCCTGTAGACAAGAGAAGTCTTGAAGTAACCAGTTAAGCCAGCTTTAGGGCTGCTTTGAATTGCCAGAGCAGCACAAATCATCTGGAAGGTGCAGAAGGTTCGGGGCCTGTCTATGGAGAATGAAAACCCATAGGGGGCTTCTATTTGCTAGTCTTGCCATGGGATCTACTCCATTATATCATGGCAGGAAGCAACCTGCTCAAATCAGAGAAAATCCAACTGATACTCTTTAGTTTCTAGTACAACTTGGCCATTAATGCCTAATGAAGCATTTAGGCCACATAATTCTCCGATTTTTTTCTGTTTATGAATGCTCCACAAACAAATTGTGATTTTCTCCAGTTTATTTGTTACCAAAGTTATTCATTGAATAATGTCTCCAAAGAATTCTTATTCTGGAGTCTGGTCGAATGACTAGCTCAAGGTCACACAGGAGGTCTGTGGCAGAGAGGAGAACTGAACCAAGATATCCTGGGTCGCTATCCAGTGCCTTAAATGCAAGACCACCCTAGAAACTCATTTGTTAGACTATTCATGGAAAATAAACTCAGAAAAGCCTGCAGGGTTAGCTGAAATGAGTGCAAATAGTTGAGAAAATATTGGCAGAAAATATTTTGCAGTATTCACTCATCTTTAGTTACTAGCCAGTCAAAAACTATCTTTAAGTATTTATTTGCTTGTGTAGTTTTTGGGGAAAAGAATCTTCCTTGATGGGCTGATGTTTGCTCGCTCCTACTTGTTCACCTGACTGGATAGGGTATCCGATATTTACCCTGGGCCAGCCCCATAGCTGATGTAAATCAGCATAGCTCCCTGGAGGTCCATTGAAAAGCTACTGATTTACACCAGCTGAGGATCTGGTTTTGCACCAATACCAATATTGCACCATCCAATCTCTAGATCTCTTTGGAACTCAACTCAACTTTGTTGGGGGGAGAACAGTCCCTCCCCATCAAAATCTCAGAGCTAACTGCACCTGCACTTCTTGTGGGTCCGCCCCTGTTATATTAATGGATGTGAAAGACCCCCCTAATGTGAACCTACAATCTACCAAGATGGCCTAGGTATAAAAAGCTCTGGCACCACCACCAGTGATCCATATTGCACAGCTTTCTGCTTCCTTCCACCGTAACCACTGTCTTCCACACGACCAACCTAAACTGGAACAACCATAGCTCAAATGAACACTTCCAACTGGATAGCAGCTTCCCCCATCCCCAGAGATCCTCCCATACAAACAAGCCAGGATGGAAGGGCCTGTGACTGCCCTATAAAGCTCAGAGATTTATCCCTACTCTCTACCAGAACAGCAGAACCCCTCCAGCTCTGTACTAACTTTCTCCTGCAGAAAGAGTATTGCAGTGGAAAATACTGGGGCAGGATATTTCTTTCACCTAATAGCAGTAACTGGGACTGAAGTCAGTGGCAGTTGCTCAGATGCAGTGGAAAAAGAATGGGGCCCTGGGATTTGAAGCATAAAGAGGGAGCAGAGAAGTAAAAGGTAGCTAAAATGTCTTGCTTCTCAGTTCTTCCTGCTTGAGGGGAAATTGAGAAAGCTGACCAGCTCTGCTAATGCACCAGGGCTAATCCCTGCCCCATTACACACACAGATTGACCACATGTGACTAGCTGTTTTTGATTGATGTTAAGCCTCGGAAAATCAACCTGGTATCCTAGCTATCAAACACAAGACAGCCCATCACTGGCTTTCTATATATAGGGACAGGCCCTCAGCTGTGCTAATTAGCAGAGCACCATCGAAGGGAATGTTGATGGGCTGACACCAATTGAGGAGCTGTCCCTGTATATAAAAGTCAGCATCTCTCCACTCATGTCAGTGGTGTGATGCTAATTGACACCAGCGGAGGAACTGGCCCATAATGTTAATAGAGCCCTTGGGTTACAGAAGGTGTTGGGAGGAGAATAGCACCAGAAACCAATTTTCTGCAATGTTTAGTAATTAGGTGCCTGGAGAGACTTCTTGGGGAGGTGGCCTTGGGACACTAATCTCTGACCTTTAACAACACCTAGTAAAGCAGGAGCGTTGCCAGGCAATTAACAGGCAGGGAAAGAGCTGCTGCGGACACCCGGTTCCCACCTTTGTGTGTACACACACCCACACGTTAATCTGCGACAGGCGCACACCCATTCTCAGGCTGAACGTCACTCGAGGGTGTGTAGCCAGGCATAAATGTTGCATTTGTGGTAGATGAAGTATGGTCCTCAGAAGAAAGCTGTCCCGGGCCTGGAGGAGTTGGGTGCTAGAGAAGGAAAGGTGAAAAAGGATAACAACAGGGGAGCCAGCAAGTTTCCCACACAGCCCTTCCCCTGAATCTCAGTACTGTCCTGCAGCCAATGCATTAAAACTTCTGTGGCATTTTTAGAATGAGCAGGGGTGTTAGTCCCTGCTGTCCTTACCAAATCCCCTTGCGGTTTCAGTTGGATACCTTGTTCTTCACCTCCTATCCTAAACTGTTGTGTAGTGTTCAGGGCCGGCTCTGGCTTTCTGGCTGCCCCAAGCAAAAAAAAAAAAACCTGCGGCAGCCGGAACAGCGAAGCAAAAAAAAAACAAAAAAAGCCCTGCGGCGCGGCCGGAGCGCGGGTGCAGGGGGACTCCCTTCCCTGCAGATGTGGGGGAAGTGGGAGGGAGCGGGGAGAGAGAGAAGGGGGGCGGCCAGGGCTTCAGCGGGGTGCTGCAACGCGGCCCCTCCTACCGTGCCCCCTGCCGGGAGGGCTCCGCACCGCTCTGGTTGGCTGGGAGGGAAAGACGTGGGCTGCCCTGCTGGGCTTGCTGCAGGGCACTCCCGTCCTCCATGCCGCTGCCCCCTACAGGGCAGCCGGAGCGGAACAACAACAACAACAAAAACCCCCAAAAAACAAAACAAAAAAAAACGGCCGTGCCGCCCTAGGATTGGGCAGAATGCCGCCTCCTACAAGCTGCTGCCCCAAGCACCAGTTTGCTTGGCTGGTGCCTGGAGCCGGCCCTGGTAGTGTTGTTGTGTGTTTAGCAGCTGCCGTATTTCCATCCCAGAGGTGGAGGATGAGATCCTTTAGCTCCCTCAAAGGAGTGTCATAGAGCTAATTTTATATCATGCTTTGAGATCTGGTGAAAGATGATACAGAAGTATCTGTGGTCTTTTCCTTCTCTTACTTTATTGTTTTCTACCATTGAGCCTCAGCCATTTGAGCATGAGTTTTCCTTCCCTCCTTCCCATTTCTAAGGCTCCTGCCAATAAACAGTTAGACAGTCTGCCTGGTGAACATGGCAGTGCATAGATGCAGACCATGAGCCTGATTCTCATATACACGCAGGCCCTTTTAAACCACTCTGGCAGTGGTGTAATGTACTCTGACTTTACGGCCCCTCTTTGCTGCCAGAGCAATATAAAGGGGCCACAATATAAATGAGAACTAGGCCCTGTGTGTGTGTATGTATAGAGCATGTGTGTGCGCATTTGTAGCTATCCATTACATGTGTGAATGTATTTGTAAGTATGTCTATATTGATATGTGCTTGTGTGACAGTAGTTATGTGTCTATTTTTACTATATGCATGTCTGTATGTGTACATTCAGTATATACAATATGTGCATACGTGTGTAGGTCCGTGTGGGTGCATGTTTACATCTAGAGTAAGTATCTCTGAGTCTCTGATCACATGTCTGTCCTTGTGCATGCTGGCATTTGTGTGTGCCTGTTTGTGCGTGAACTGGATACTATGAATTTGATAAAATCCACATCATTCAGTGCAGTGGGACATTTTTCCTGACGCTCTGTTCCGGATGCCAGCGGAGAGTTATCACTGTTTGTTTGCCGTAGCTATCTCGAGGGCGTGGCACATGCCAAAGATCCATTTGTTCCATGTGTATAGGAGGAACCAGCTTATTGTCCCACAACTTGTATATTCCTAGGGTTAGATTGTAACTCAAGCACACAACCCTGAGCAAGGGGTGAGGCCAAAGCTGCATCAACCAGGGAGTAGCCCAGGAGCCATTTTGCCTCAGAGACTCCCCTTTGAGTCCCAATGCTTCCTTCTTGCTCTCCTGGAGTAGGAATTTACCTTACCATCAGTAAAGTCCTACTTACCCCAAGCTGGCTCAATGAGTAGGGAGTTGGAGCCAAGGTTATGCTTGTTCCTCACCCTTCCTTGCTCGCTTGCTCCACGAGGGAGTACGCAGGCAAATAACCTTGCTTACTACTACATGCCTGTAACAATCTTGGGGTTCATTAAATAACAAGCCAGTGAATGAGAAAGGAATAAAACTTTAATAAAACAAACTGGAGAGCTTCTGTAGTGAGCTGCGGCCCACAGCCATGTGGTCCCCGCCACCCTCCCTAGGTACATCTCCAAATTCCCACACTCACAACACTATACCTTATGAGAGAGCATCTCCAAATCACAATCTTTCATAAACATATCTCTACAATACCTGGACCCAGTATCTTGCTGCCTTAAGCATAGGGGTGTATGTGGCGTTTTTGTTCCCTCGTCTGGATGCGTGGTCTGAGCACAGTTCAGAAATTTGGGCATCACTATAGATGTCTATTATGCGGCAAAGGCAGTAGAAATTCCTGCACTATAGAAAGTGTGAATGGGAATATATTTCTAATCTGACAGTTTACACACAGGTTTCAGGGGGGAAATGCACACAATTAGAAACCCAATGTTCTTTACCTGGGGTACTGAACACACCATATTGGATTATTAAAAGTGCAAGACCATTAAAAATCTAATTTGCTTTGCACCATTTTTATGGATTCTCTTTTTGCATTTCATGAAGCTTGGAGGGACATAACTGCACAGGTTACTTTCACTTTTGTTTACAGTTTTCACTTTCTAATTCACAGCACTAGCAGCCGGTTAGGGTCGCTGTAACTGCAGGGGAATATTTAAATTAAAGAGAGTTTTTTCACTGAAGTTAAAACAAAATTAATTAAAGTACTTTCTAATGGCTGCTTTGGAGTAATTTTAGTTCAGACAAATGTGTGCTCGGGATTCTAAAATGCCTTTCTTCAGCATTGAATAGAGTCCGTTCTTTGTTCTGCCTGCCGGATGTTTGGAAATTTACATGGGATTTTCAAAAGTGCTCAGTCTTAGCAGAACTCTGATTTCAGTTGGGGCCTCTAGATACTACTATACTGCAAGTTATAATAGCCTTGAATTTAATTAAATCCTTAGTTGAGGTTTGTGAATCACTTTGAAAACAAAACACTCTGTGTACATTTATTACTGTTATGAAACATTCTCACCAAAACTCAGCCAAGGGAAATTTCTCTTTAGGGATATTCTCTGCCCATGACTTGTCTCTTTGCTGAGCGGCAGTGTGGCAGGCAATATACACTTGCATTTTCTCATTAAATGCAGACATGCTCACATTCAGCAAGTGGCTGCTGGGAGCCAAGGTAAATAGGCACATACTTTGCAGTGTCCATCACATCAGTCTGGCGTGGCATTGAGTAATATTATTCCAGGGAGGAGATCCACACACCTGGCTTTGATTATTGACTGGCCAACACCCAGCATGTTCATGGACGGGTGTTGCGCACTCTTCCTTGGGGGAAGGGCCTTGTATATTGTAATTGTGTAAACATTCCTAGTAATAATACTAATAATACCTAGAGCTTTTCAGCAGCAGATCTCAAAGCACTTTACAAAGGTCAGAATCATTATCCCCCTTTTCCAGATGGTGAAACTGAGGCACAGAGATGAAGTAACTTGCCCAAGGTCACCCAGCAGGGCAGTAGCAGAGCCAGGAATAGACCAGGTCTCCTGACTCCCAGTCCAGTGCTCCATCCACTAGCACACACTGCCTCCTGCTGAAGTCCCTACTAAGGACTTCTCTGATTGCTGACTCACTATCACAGCAATTTTTCCTTTTGCTTCCCACTCAGACAACATTAGGCCAGATTGTGACCCCTTTGTGCACAACGCTGAGCTATTATTCATGGTTACCCCCAGGGGAGACAGTATGGTCAAATAGCTATTGCACTGGCCCAGGAGACAGGAAAGGTGTGTCACTTTTCTTCTCTGTGCTTCTGTTTCTCCCATTCTTTGTCTGTTTTGTCTATTTAGACTGTAAGGTGTTTGGGCTTGGGACTGTCTCTCACTCTGTGTATGTAAAAGGCCTAGCACGAGGCCCTGATCTTGATGGCACCTCTAGGTGCTATAGTCATATAAATAATTGAAGTCAATGGGACTAGTTGTGTGAGTTACTGCTCAGCTGAGTAATGGGGCCTGTTCCATCGTTAGCACCCTCACGTACACATATCCCAAACCTCTCTTCTCCTTGTTGATTCGTTTAATAATAAATCTCTTCCTGTTAATTCTGAAAAAAAGGCTGATGTGTGGTTCCTGGACATTCATGGATGACACAACTCTTCTTTCTTTCCACCTGTCCATGCTGTAATGTCCCACTGGCCATATGACTGTGTCTCCACGCTGGTGGGTGCCAGATGCAATGCTCTCATAGAACAGCGGTAATGCAGTCATGGCCTAGGGTTTAAGGATCCAATACTAGATGCTATGGTGCACTTCTATAAAGGTAATGAGATGCTATCCCAGTGCTGGAGGCTGTGATTAACATAGCAGAGGTGAAGATGCAGTCATGTCTCAGGACTGGAGGCTCCCAGATCCTGCACAGCATCATAACGAAGATGGTGTATTATGATGCAGTTCTTAGTGTCTAGTGTGTTCTAAGTTTACTAACGTGCTGTAGTTTCAGTTGGACACAGTGTTCTCCACTTCCTGTGCTCAACTGCAGTGTGGAGTTAAAGCCTGCTTCTAATCCTCTTTTACGTTCCACCCCAGAGGGGGTTGCATTTCAGTGAGTGAAAACAGAGGTCTGTCTGTGTGGTTTGTAACACTTCCCAAGCATGTTGGAATCCTTAGGGACATATGGGTACCCTATAAATGCAAGGGGCCCATGATTCTCTATGCAGAGTTGGGCACTCCATGCATGGATCACTGACTTTCCACTATCTTCCCCTCCATTGCTGCATGTGGATATTCATTTGCCCCATGAATGGAATTCAGGAGCAGGGCTGGGGAAGAAAGAGAATGGAGCAGGAGAGAAACTGCTCTCTGTGGGATCATCTATTACCGACTGCGGGTCCCCTCTGAGGCTGCTACTGAGTCAGGGGATACAGCCAATGCAAGCGCAACTCCTGCTCCAGCCATGCTGCCACAGGGAGAGGTCAGTGCCAAATGGCTCCTGTTTCTGTGGAGAAGGAAGTTCCTTTCCTCCTGGATCCTTGACATTTGTAGGGTTGGGAGGGAGCATGAACTCCTACACCTCCAGCTCCTCAAATCTCTCCCACCTGAGGCGATGGTTGCAGGTAAGCGCCATGAGGGTGAATGGAGCTTTCATCCTCCCTGTCCCTTTCCCAGTAGTTTCTCTGCAGGAGAAGACTGTCACATTACATAGAATCACAGTATTTCTTAAATAGGAGGCATTTATTAGAGAAAAGCACAGATGACCGACACAATCAAACAGACTTCCGCATAGCTTGAGTCCCAGCTTTGTCTCTGTTGCTTATCAGGGACTACAACCTGTCTGGAATTCTGTCCAGCACACAGAGACACCTAGTGGTTGAATATTATAATGCAAATTAACACATTATTACAGAGGCGATCTGGTCCAAGCTACTCATATTTTACTATGTTTGTTTCATGTGTTATATGTATTTACTCTTACTGGAGTCCGGGATTGGAGAGACAAACAGTGCAAAGGAAATTAATTTCCCATTTATCGTGTTTGTTTCTTCAGGTCAGCCACACCTACTCATGGCTAACAAAATGAGTTCAAACATCACTACTGCCCCCAGTGCCCTCACAACGACCGCTGCTCTGACTACTGCCAAGCCTGGCTTCATCGATGGCATTATTAACAAAATACCTTGTGAGTAAATTAAAGGTGCCAGAGTGGGCACAAGTGTTGGGTTCATCAGGGATTAATTTATTTGCTGAATTCATCGTGAGTCAACCATGCTTCCTCTTGGACTTACCCTTGATCTCACAGATGGCTGCCACCAGCCAAAGCTCCATGGCTGCCCCTATAAGCTTTAAAACGCTCAGCTCCCCCGAACCTCTGCCAACAGCAGCCAGGGAGGGAGAGAGGTGAACCCTGCAGACTGAGGACACTGCTCCTGGCCTCAGAGCCTAGTGGTCCCTTCTCCCAACCAGCTCCTTTGCCTTTTTCACCCCTCCAGCTCCACTTCATGGTGACCTGAAGTGAAAACTCAAAGACAGGATGGCTTGATGTGATGTCCTTAGGACCAAGTTCGAATGGGGGCTCCCATAGCCACTGGGCACCTTAGAAAGAGCAACGAAGAAAGAGGGGATTTAGGAAATGACAGCGCCACCTAGTGGCACCACAGTTTAAGGTTGTGTTCAGCTGTACGGTATAAGCATGGCGCCAGGGGCTTGGCCAAGGGAGGGCCTGAAATTCTGTGGCCTGATTCCTGGATTGTGCTGCACTCCAGTGGCAGTTTCTGATACATTTTTAAAATATAGGTGGCTGTTAAATCTAAAAATGACTCGTGCAATCAGCATAGTGTTTATTTTGGGGTGGCAGGAGGAGGTGTTTAGCTGGATGTTTCTGATAGAAAGATCAGCCAGGAAAGAGTGAACAATGTGGCCATGGAAACTGGTATCTTTAGGTTTCAGATTTAACAGCCTAGTGAGATGAACACAGTGGTTCATGGCTGTCGGAGAGCGATTATTCCAGGCTGTCTCCGGACTCCTGGAGGCAATAGTGCAGCGGTTACATCTGGTTATGTTCTGTACCTTTAGTTTTTTCAGCCATGAACATTTTTTTTCCAAAGTGAAAGTTTGTATTTTGCAGCAAATTCCTGCATCAAGGGAGTGAACTCCCAGGCCAGTTCAATTGCTGCAGAACTGCAGGCGAAACTCGACCATGAGTACAAGAGCTTAGCAAAGCCAATCTTCATAACAAAGAACAGATATAGCTCATCTGGGAGCCCACATATTAACCTGTAAATAAATATGAATTCCCACAGCTACAATGCTGGTTCTGTCACGCTGACCTGCACTGATTCCTCAAACAGAGGCACCTCTGCCACCAAAATGACACATCATTTAATGATGGCTGGGAACATAACATATATCACTGCCGGATCTGATATTCACAACCCCTTTACTACTTCTTATTCTCTTCCAAGCCCATGATGATCAGGAAGCACATAAAGGAACCTGCCGGGATGTAAGCAGGTGGGATTTAAAGGACATGGCAGTGTTTGTGCAGGATGTGACACTTAATCTATCTCCATGGGGTTATTCCCCACCTCCCCACCCCGACAGCTAGGATCTTAGGCACAGGGAAGATAAGGCCAGACTTTTCAGATGGGTGTGCCAAGCGTTGGACAATTCATTAATCCATATTCCAGCACGTCAGTCAGAGTGGCCTCATTTTCAGAAGTGCTGATCACACACAGCTCTGAGTTAGGTCAGGGGGAGTTGCAAAAGCTCAACGTCTCTGAAAATCAGACCACTTTTATTTAGGTGCCTAAATGTGGATGTAGGTGCCTAAAGTCCACCATTTGGGCCTTAAGTGATATGCCCAGGGCTCAGATGATAACTCAGGAGTCCTGATAACATTCTCTCCCTAGAAACAGGGATTATCTAGACAGGCATGCCATAAAAAGTGATCTAACCCCATTTATTTCTCTGTTTCCAAAACGGTGCAACAGTACCCAAATGGGCCCTCATCGCCATTGCAGTCGCGGCAGGCCTTCTCCTCATCCTCTTCCTCATCTGCATCATCAAGTGCTGCTGTTGTAAGAAGAAGCACAAGAAGAAGGAGAAACTCAACTTGCAAAACATCAATGGCGCCACCACTGCCAGCCTGGTATGCTCCTCCCATTGCCCCTCCTCCGCCTTACTCCACAGCTGGTAGATGCACTCAGAAGCAGCAGCATGTTCTAGTGAGCTGAGTGACAAGGCTGGAGAGCCAAGAACGTACGGGTTTTGCCATGGAATCATAGAATCATAGAATATCAGGGTTGGAAGGGACCTCAGGAGGTCATCTAGTCCAACCCCCTGCTCAAAGCAGGGCCAATCCCCAACTGGGGCAGCTTCTGTTCAGAACCGACCTCAAGCTAAATTAGCAATGTGTGCTGCAGGCCAGAATGAGGATGGTTTAGCACAGATGTGTATGGAGAACTTCCCCAGCACCTGTCTGTCTGATGACTTTATGGTTCTAGTTAGTGCTCTGAGTTACCCATTTTCATGAGCTCCAAATTAATCAGATATGGAAACGGAGGAAGAAAAACGGAAGTACAGGATGCAGTGTGTCTTTGAGTCTGGGAGCAGCCAGCATGAGAGAGATCTATGTGTAGTGTGGCAGAATAAGACATACCAGTGTTCCTTTTTGGACTACGGGGGCTTATTGATGGAGCCTTGCATAATCCTGAGGCTGTCCTGATTTTTGTTTGCTTGGTTCACTTCAGTGTGGCCGGTCTTCAGACTCATATTCCCAGAATGTAATAGGGATCCTTTCATCATTTGTCACAATCTAAACATGACTTTACAACAGTAACCTCCAGGACTGCAGCACATTGCAGTACAGTGTAATGAGCTTGGGGTTCACTCTTATCTGTTCAGGAAAGACCAAGCAGCTTGGGCTGGCAGCATCATCTCTGGAATATGGGGACATGGTTAGAGAACTGCATTGTTGCCCCTAGTCTCCAGCCATGGAGAAATCCCAAAGATCCCAGTCTTGAACCTTCATGAGCATTGTTATTTTGGAAGACATTCTGCTGCTTTCTTGCTGTAGGTCCAGCCAGATATGGAAGATTTGGAGTCTGGACTCGAGAACGAGAAGCGAGGAAGGCTGCAGTATTCCCTGGAGTATAACTTCCGTAGCCAGGAGGTAGGATGAGCTACCTAGTACTGATGGAAGTGGCAGGAAATGCCTTTTTTTTGCATGGTCAGATTCTCCTCCTTCACCGCATTCCAAACCCTCTCCTTTCAGAGCAGGGCCGGCTCCAGGCACCAGCGAAGGAAGCAGGTGCCTGGGGCGGCCAATAGAAAGAGCCGGCACTCCGTCCGGTATTGGGGTGGCACGTCCGGGTCTCCGGTGGCAATTCGGCGGTGGGTCCTTCATTCCCCTTCTTCTTCTTCGGCGGCACTTCGGCAGCAGCTCAATCGGGTTTTCCTTTTTTTTTTTAACTTCGCCGCTTGGGGCGGCAAAAAAGCTGGAGCTGACCCTGTTTCAGAGCCAGCTCTGCACCTTTTCCCCTTGCCCATCACATTTTCCACCCCCACACCAGCCAGTCAGCATGCTGATCCTCTGCTGTGCACACAACTCCAGTTCCTCCGCTAAAGCTGTGGGCACAGCTGCAGATACTAAATAGGTCCTAGCCCGCCAGTTGGCCATCAGGGTCCCTTCTGCCTTCCTGGCTACTGATCCATAACAGCACCCCCAACATTGCTTTCTACAACAAAAAGCACCTACCATGCTTTTCTGTGTCCAGTTGCAACAGACTTTGCCTACAGCCACCTGGAAAGTTGCAAAGCCGAGCCTGCTCTCCCTCCTTACATGGAATAACCTTTTGCTGTTGATATTTTTCAGATGAAGGTTGGAGTGAAGCAGGCAGCAGATTTAAAGGCCATGGACAGCGGGGGGACCTCTGACCCATACGTTATTGTCTACCTAACATCTGATATGAGGAAGAAGTATGAAAGCAAGGTTTACCGGAAGACGTTGAACCCTGTCTTCAATGAGACCTTCACCTTCCAGGTGAGAAACGCTCTCAGCTACTCCCTCTCATCCACGTTGCTGCTGTAAGTTGCTCTTGACTCACTGCTTGTGAGCTGAGAGCAGACATCAAATAGCTAGTGCTGATCCTGCATAGCGCAGATACAGAGTGTGGCATGTACGAGAGCAAGGCAAACAAGTGAGAGCAAAATCCGCCTGCTTTGTGGCAGGAATAGGGCCAAGGAGGAGAGACGCAGAAGATAGATTTCTCCTCAGGCCCGTCCATTCTTATCCACATGTCCCCCTTTTATGCCCTGGATTCTTGAGAATAAAGAAAGAGGGTCTGAGATTTTCTTACATTTATACTTACACCTTTTCCCCCGTCACAGGGCGGCTCTGTCACTATCCAGTGTGCCACACTGCCTGGTCTGTTTCTGGCTCTCTTAACCACCAACACACACCAGATTGTTACCCTTTTACCATGTGGCTATTGATTCTTCACTTACACAGTATAACTGAATGCATTGCAGGCTTATACAGTGAGAGGAGACTTCTACACAGCCATCTCTCCTCAGCTCAGGCTCACCCTCTGAGCTTCCCCCTAGCTCCTGTTCCTCCCACTTACATCTTCCCCATTACTGAGCCAAATTACCTCCTTAGTCCAGCAATTACCACCCAAGGGTCATTAATCCCCAGCAGAAACTGACAAATTGGCTTTAATGAAGCCTGTACTTTTCCCTGTGTTGCAGCAACCAGGGTGCTACTAATAGTGCTCTGTCACACTCCCCTCCATTGCCCCCCCTGAATCCCTCACTCATGTGTGTGCTGCAGCACAATCAGTTTGCTCTCCTGGTTGTGCAGCACCATACACACACACACACCTGCAGGAGTAAAGCTTTGGTCTCTTGTACAAACACTGCTGTGTCCTGCCAGTTTCTTCTGCTGAGTCTGAGTGGGAAATGGGAACTTGTCACCTCTCAGTGGTCCCTCCTGCAAATGATCCCAGCAACAAATCTTCTCTCCTTCCTTTGGTTTCCAGGACCCAGGGGTCCTTCCTGCTCAGGGCTTCAGGCCAGCAGAGTAGCGTGTTGGGAATCCTAGCGCTGAATGACCATGGAGGCTGACTCTCACTTTGGGAGAGGAGGAGGGCCTGCCCAGGCCCAGATGTGCCTTCAGCGCCAGGGGAAATGGAGTGGCAATGGAGTGAGGGAAGCTCTGTTACATCTCTGCTGCCCCAGACTCACGAGACGGAGCTCCAACAGAAGAGCACGACAGTGGTATTGTTAACTCCCACACTGCAATTCCTTTCTCGTCTCCTCCTGGACAGATTCCCCAGGCGGAGATGTCCGAGTCCACCCTGGTGATGCAGATCTACGACTTCAACCGCTTTGCCAAACACGACATCATCGGCGAGGTCCGGCTGCCTCTGGGCGACTTCGATCTTCAGCATGTGATTGAGCAGTGGCAAGAGCTCACCGCTGCCAGTAAGATGGAGGTGGGTATCCAAGTCAAACCCCAGAATGAGGGGAGCAGCAAGCGGGCAAAGGGAAACCGAACCAGTGGCAAGATATCTCACAGATCTCCCCATGGAAGTCTTGATTCCATCACTTTCACTCATGTTGAGCAGCACCTCCCTCGTCAGCAAATACTTCTGCTGAAGTCCCCCGGGCTAGGACTTTTGCAACCCTTACTCAATTGCACAGGGGTGCAAGGCCTGCCTGGTTGCTCAGATTTCCCCTCCAGACACAGCGAGGAGAGCAGAGGCTACTCCCTCCACGTGCCTTGCAATGAGCCAATAAATGAGGAAGGGATGGAGAGGGGTGAAGAGTGGGAGAAGCCAGAATGGATGGCCGGGATTGTGGGTAGTAAACTGCTCCATGAGCCTGGGTGAAATAACTCGCTCCTCCCCCAAAGGAGTAGGAAAAGCACATTTGTAGCTGGAATGTTTGCCAAAAACAAACGTTGAGTTGCTCTGTTTGATATATAACCAGAGAACTGCAACTTCTGCTGAGATGGTTGGTTACAGAAGCAGGATGGCTAAGCCAAGCAGTCAAAAGTCATGAGTCAGCAACCCCGCCCCCACCATCATTCATGGCCTGACTTCAAAATCATGAGATTTTTCAAAATAATAAATATTGGGTTCTTTTTATTTGTCTTGCTTTTTGAGCCATTAAGGCTCACATTTTCAAGCTTTCCTCTATAGTCATGAGGGCCAGAAGACTAGACCTGTACTTTTAAAAAGTTGTTTGTTTGAAAATGGAAATTCTCTTATAATGACAGAAGTCCAGGAGCTGGGGTTTTAAGAAAAGCACCAAATATTATGAGACTCATAATATAAATCACAAGAATTGGCAATGCTGTCTAGTCATGTGGAATTGTTTCTATTCTCTGGTTGGATGAAATGCTACTAACCAAAACAGTGGGAAATGCAAATGTTGAAGATGACAGTCAAATCTACAGTTCAAAATTCATGCCATGCTGGTTATTCACTGTAAATTATACCACTTATGTAATTAGAGTTACATAAAATAGTTACATAAGTTATGCAAATGAGTCCCATCAGTTACAGCATGAACTATAGTTTGTAGCTTTGGTTGTAATACTCCTAATTAACAACTAGAAGTTTGCTATTAATTTTGTCTAGCTATAAAACTGGACAGTTTCTTGGTGTGTCTGAAGATTATTGCAAATGGGGCGGGGGGAGGTAAAATTCAGTGAATACAAGATTAATTGTAAATTATTTATTCACCTGATAAAAATCCACACTGGAGTGTGTAGCAGATCCGATCAAAAATTTGCAAATTTGTCAACATTTCAACAAAAAACTGGCATAGTATTTTCAATGACATTTCCATGAAAATGTTGTCCCACTTTTCAACCTGTATACCTGGTCAAAGTGTTGAAAAATAGGCAATTTCATCAAAATTTCAACAAAAAAGAGACAACATTTTCAACGAACTTTGCCCCCAGAGGAACGTGGCCTTTGATGAACTGTGACTTGCAACGTATGAGGCTATCATTCCACACTAGAGCAGATCAGAAAACGGGACATCATTTAAACATTTTTTCACATTTTCACCCATTCTTTTTATGCAATTTCAACCAAAAATTTTTGTTTGAAATTTCAAATTTGGAAGTTTTCTCCCACTTCTAACCCCCCGGAGCGTGAGATGTAACCTGTGTCCTTACTGTTGTGGTCATGTCCTGTGGCATCCTTCTAGGAGAATTGATTAAATGCAGGAATAAGATGTTGCATTCACAGGCCAGTTCCTTTGTGTATCCACAGGACAGGTGCAGCAGAGGCAGTGATGGAGAGCACTAGCCTTAGTCACCCTAACCCTGGACAGGGGACAACAGAAGCCCTACCACCCTGAGGCCTATCCCTAGCTTCCCCTTAGGAACGGAACACTGGCCCGGGGGAATTCCTCCCTTTAGTATCACTAATCCTAGCCCTGGGGGCCCCTCCCCTTAGTAATGCTAACCTTAGCCTGTGGAATCTTAACCTGATACCAGGGACCCCTACCCTTAGTATCCCTAACTTTAACGTGGGAATCCCTACGAGCCCCAGGCCAAACCCTAGCCCAGAAAAGTCTACCCTTAATAACCTTACCCCTACCCTAGGGAGCCCTACTCTCAGTAACCTTAACTGTAGCCCGGAGAGGCCTACTTTTAGAAATCCTAACCCTAGCCTGGGGAGCCCTACAATTAGTAACTCTCACCCTAGCTCAGGGAGCCCTACCTGTCCCAGGCATAACACTAGCCTGGAAAGGCCCACCTTTAGTAACCCTAACCGTAGCCTGTGGAGTCTGACCAGCCCCAGGCCTAACCTGACCCAAGAGGGCTCCACCCTTGGTAAAACTAACACTAGCTTGGGCAGTGCTACTGGACCCAGGTCTGATCCTAGCTAGTGAACCTTAGTAACCCTAACTCTACTCTGGGAAGCCCTACCAGCCCCATGCATAATCCTAGTCCAGAGAAGCTTACCCTTTGTAATTCTAAGCCTACTTTGAAGTTCCCTACTGGCCACAGACCTTACCCTACCCTGGAGATCCCTACCCTTGGTAACCCTATCCCTACCCCTTGGAGTCCTACTGGCCCAAAGGCTAACCCCTAGTCCATAGAGGCCCACTGGCCCCTGGCATTGGCCGGGTTGGCTATATTGCTCTGATCTTGTCATCAAGCATTCACTGATCACTTCTCTTTTGACTTTGTGTTTCTAACAGCAAGAGCGCCTTGGGGAGATCTGTTTCTCACTCCGATACATCCCCAGCACCAGCAAGCTCACTGTGGTGATCTTGGAAGCCAAGAAGCTCAAGAGGATGGACTCAAGTGGATTGTCAGGTAAGGAGAAAGGGCCCACAATGATTGTACAGTGTGGGATTCGGGAGTGTGGGGCACACAAGGAAGGACACACCATGATGCTGCATTGACAGATAAGCTCCAACTAGACAGGTTCTCCTTAAACACAGGTCTCTCTCTGCCCCAGCACAATTCAGGCTTGACTCCTATTGCTATAATGGGAGTGGAGATAAGACAGACAGAAATACAGAAGGCACCAACGGTATGAGTTGTGGATTCAAATTCAGCCTCAGGTGATGGGGAAGAATGAGTTTGATTGTCTAGTTCCAGTTTCCAACACCATATATTTGCAAGAGAGATAAGGGGTGAGGTGATATTTTTTTATTGGATCCACTTCTGCTGTTGAAAAAGGTCACCCACCTTGTCTCTCTAATATCCTAGGACCAACATGGCTACAACAACACTGCAAACATAGATTTGTAACACAGTTTGGCAAAAGCTTGTACAATAGGCAACTTCTGCGTTTGTCTTCAGGAGAAGGGCTCTGGGGGCTCCCAAACAGTGTGTGTGGGGACTTTGTGTCTGTGGGTGGAAAGGGCTCAGGATAGACCTCCTCTGTGTGTATGGGGCTGTGTTTAAACTAGGAACCCCCTAGCATATGAGGTTAGAAGCCCCATGCCCTGTGCCTCTCCTTTGCGTCTATCCCTCTTCCTCATTTTGCCCCATCACAACCATTGTGAGGAGTAGCAGGAAGGGCTGCAAGTTGGGATTCAGGTGCATTGGCAGAGCTGTGTGGAATTGCAGGAGATATCACAGATCAGGATTGAGGTTGATTAGCTGAATTGTGGGGGAAGCCCAGGGCTGGGAAAGCAGGGGTTTCTGCAGGTCAGAACCGAGGTGCACTGGCAAGGCCGTGGGCTACAACAGCAGTGGGCCCTCTAGATCGGGACCGAGGTGCATTGGCAAAGCCATGCAGAGGCCAGTTCCCAGGAAAGCTAGCAGAATTCTGAATGCCAATGTTCCATGAAGCTGTTTCATGGGCGAGCTGCGGAAATCTTTGCGCCAAGGGATAGCATTAATGATACTGGTTGGCCATGCCCTCCACTCCTTCCTACGTTCTCTTTGTTTCTCAGACCCCTTCGTCAAAGTGCAGCTTATCTTGAACAAGAAGAAATGGAAGAAGAAGAAGACAGGTGTGAAGAAGAGCACTTTAAGCCCCTACTTCAATGAGGCATTTACTTTTGACGTGCCTTTCAACCAGATCCAGGTAGGTTTCCCCAGCCAGGGAGAGCATTCGGTAACAGACACGCACCGCTAGCAATGAACCCAAGGTCACTGGCTGTGAAGTGGCTGCTATAACTGAGAGTGCTAACAAAAAAAATAGTCCTGTTGGTGCCGTGAGCTGCCATTGTGATGGTGGCTTAGCCTTGCTCAGTTGCCCTGCCAGGCTAAGGGAAATGAAGTGGTGTCTCCTACAATACAGGGGTCTCCTGCAATACAGACAGACATGGAGTTTGGAACTCAGGGAGGTGAAGGGTTTGAGTGGGGGGCGGGGGTGAGTGGCTTTCAGGTGCTGCCCCCTCTTGGCTGATGTTGTCATCCTCAAAGGAAATCCGTCGCCCCGGATTTACACTAGGGACGTGTAGGGGCCCTGCTGATTGCATTTTTCATTCCAGACCCAGATACTGTATTTCTCACACTTTTCTGTAGCACAGATGAGAGCAGGGGAGTGGTCAGGAGGTAATGGAAAGGAATGGGGAGCATCCCAGAGCGGGTTCTCCCTCTCCCTGGTGTGAGCATGACCCTCCCAGCCAAACCTCCAAGTCCTTCCCTTTCCAGGGGATAAGCCAAATCCCAAATAAAAGTTCAGACTTTGTTTTCAAGAAGAGGTGGGGATGCATGCCAGTCAGTCAGTCTGTCCAATCAGCCCATCCCCAGTCATGGCTGGCTTCTTCCTCCTTTTATACAGGGCCACTAAGCATGTAGGGTTAACAAACCAGCTGCATCTGCTCTACAGTAGCCACTTAACCCTTCCCTGACTGATTTTATACACACTCTTGCAGAGGCCTACATGCCTCTCCATAGGCAGCCCCAGCCAACTTGCTCAGGGGCCAGTGGTACATTTTAGGAGACAGAGAACATACCCCTCACAGAGACAAGGGATTAAAACATTTTACAACGGCATCCCTATGGGAAAATCACCCTTCTCTCTCTAGCCATGCTCCCTCATTTTCTTTTCCTCTGAATCCTTTTGTCTACCCTCTTCTTCTGCTTCCTTTTCTATCTGCCCCCTATTGTCTTTATTCTCCCTTTCCATGCATCCCCTCCTTCCTTCTCTCTCTCACCTGTTCCATTTGTGCCTTCCCTCCAGAACATCGACTTGGTGATTTCAGTCTGGGATCATGACAAGGTGACCAAGAACCAACAGATCGGCAAGGTGTTCCTGGGCTGCAGAGCCACGGGCAACCAGCTGCGCCACTGGTCAGACATGTTGGCCAATCCCCGCCGACCCATCGCCCAGTGGCACAACCTGCAGCCGGTAGAAGAAGTGGACAATGCCCTGGGGCTGAAATCCCACTTCAAGCTGCCTCTGCCTGGCAAATAAAGGGAGGCTTCTATCTCTCTCTCTCTCCACTTGGGATCATAAGGAACTTGAGACAATGGGCATGCTTGGATGGATGGTCTGGAGTGCCAAGGAAAGGCAAGAAGTGCCCGGGCTGGGAGAGTTGGGGGGATTTTGCTATGAAGAATCTGTATGGATTAGATTTGTAGCCAAAATATAAGTGAGCAAGAACCAAGTTCTTCAGGCCATGTTGGGAACTGGTCACTCATGCATATGGCACCTTAGGCTAATGACAAGAGCTTTGAGAGCCCCAGAACCTACAATCTATCCCCAGCATAAATATCCTCTGCTTCGAGCCAGTGGAGGGAACTGCGGGGAACATGTCTTTGTGCTAAATTTTGTGGTTGGGAGTTGACTCAGAGACATGTATACCCAAGGCAGGGTGGGTGGGGATCTGGAAACAGCCTGGCCTCGGGTGAGGAGGGGGATACTGGTGATGTACGGACACATGGAGTGGGTTATTTCCACCATGACTAAGAGAGAGAAATACATGCGACTGAAAATAATGCAGTAGCGACACTTCCTTTGATACAAACCTGCACAGTAACAACAATACAGTTCAATGGACTGGCACGGATAGATGGGCTGCTTCTTATTGGAAGGAGCCAGGTGGGATGATCATCTATAATCATGTTTTACTCGGGGGGGAGGGCATTGCTAGAAGATTTTTGCACACGCCAAAGATGCTGAGACATGGCAGGCTAGGGAAAGACATGGTGTCAAGGAGTCTGATATTCAAATTGAGGGGAAGAAGGGCAGACTTGCAGTCAAGGCACTGGAGCCCTGTGTTAAATTCTCTGCTCTGCTACAGGCTTCCAGTGGACTTTAGGCATGTCACCTAGTCTCTCAATGGGAATACCAGGGCTGCCCCACATCCCAGGAGTGCTGTGGGGCACCCACTTTGACACAATGGTCATGGGGCTATGTACCTAGTTAGACAGACCTCCTGCAAGGATCCCGCCCTCAGTTCTAGGAGCCACTTCACAGCCAGTGAGCTTGGTGTGTGTCCATTACGGTGTGCTCTCCTTGCCTGGCTGGATGCTGCTGCTGTATTTAACATGGATTAACTCCCCTTGATTGCAGCATATAGACACTGACAGGCTCCTCTAGTACTTCTGAGCCTTCCTCTTATTGAGCGTGAGAAGCCCCCTCTCTGTGGGAGTGCAGTGGGGCGCTCCCAGGACCCTGTGGTATGTTGCTTAGCACTGTGCTATTCAGTCCATAGCCCCAGTGAAGAATGTGGCCGAGGGCTGCTTCAACGCTGTAGACAAGCTTCATTATTGCTGTGGTGAGGTGGATCGTGTGGACCAGGAAAGTTGGGGGTTTGGTGGGAAATACTGAGAGGTTGGGCAGGGAAAAGCCTCCCTCAAAACATGCTGGGAAGTGGATTCCCTCCCACGGTAGCTTCTGCTTAAAAACAAAAATCAGCTGTTTTAGCTGATAAAACAGCATTGGCCGGGATTCCCTGCACACACCTGAGACCCCCTAGCTGGTGCTTCAGTACAGACCAGTCTCACTCCATCAGCTCACCTGCCTGCATCTGAATGAGGAAAGACACCTGGATTAGCTCAGACTAGAGAGAAAACTGCTAAGGGTGCAGTGCTGCGTCGGGGACATATCTCTCCTGGTCCTTGAGTTTGCATTTCAAGGGACCATTCATTCTGGGGATTTTTAAGGGGTTCTTTGTTTTAGATTAAGACCTTAGGTGAGTTTTACCCTGATGCCGTGGGGCACCTCTGCCTGCCTTTGCCAGCCAGGGCTTCTACTGAGAGAAGACGGAATTGGCCAGGTGTCAAACCGCATCTTGGCAAAAACTGTGGGGAACACTGAATACACTCTTACTCTCGGTGCATGTAGTGCCTAGCACAATGGGGCCCCCATCTTGGCTGGGGCTGCTAAGGGCCTCCATAATATGAATAATTCTTAATTGTAATAATTAAAAAAATCCCTGTGCTAGAAAAACAGAGGTACAGAGCAATAAAATCCTGAATGTTAAAACGGTTCACTCTGCCTGCTCTGCTGTGGAGAAAGCCATCTGGCCACATGTTTTCCTGGTGCAGCTCTGTTGACCTCAGTGGGTTTACACTAGTAGTTCTTATTGTAACCAAAGGGAATCAGGAACATAGGTCAATGGAATTTGTCCTCCTAACCCCCATAGGCACTTTTGAAAATCTCACAGTAAACAGTTTAAGGAGTCAGATCATTGTAAATGATAAGTGAGAGAATTTAAAACAGAACAGTTAAATATCATATCCTCCTTTACTGATCTGCCATGCCAAATACTAAGAGGGCAGGATTTTGGGCCAGATCCTTGGCTGGTCTAAATCAGCATCACTCCAGCGACATCAGTCAGTGGAGGATCTGGTCCCTGTAGCAGCTGTTGATGTTGCTGACTCCTAAAGTGCACTCTCCACTCCTTGTCTGGCTCTAGGTTTCTGTGGTCTGGCATCAGGTGCTGCTGCAGAAAGAACCCACAACTTGGGGCTGATCACATGGGAGGTGGCCTTGCAAAGTAAGCACAGCATCCGTGTCTGCCATTGGAGACTGTCTCCAGACCTACACAACCTTCAGGTGACTGGTGTCCTTACCAATACCAGCATCCTACGGGTTACATGAAAGCAGCCTTTGAATTGTTTGTGGAGGTTTGTGATGGCTATTGTTCTGTCATGTCCTGAGAAGCCAGAGTGCTTTTGTTTCTAGATAGGTAACAGGCCTGCCCTGAAGGATCCTCCAGTGCTGGGGTAAATCAGGGCTGTACTTTTGCAGCCCTAACTTGGACTAGGGCTGGGTGGCCCTGATCATGGAAGCAAAGCTAATTTTTTAGTTGATTTCCTAATTCTGCAAGGCACTCAGATGCCACAGACATGGGTGAGGAATAAGATTCTAAAGAGAATAAATGTTCTCCATCTCCAGCTAGCCAGTGGCTGGCCCTAGCAAGCAGAAGAGCCTGCTGATTACTGAGTGCTAATTGTGCTCCAGGTTTGATTCTCCAGCAAAAATTAGAGCAGCCTTCAGGCTGCTCCAAACTATGCCAAGGACTGTTCCAGTAGCCTGTGTTAGCAGGACACAGACACACCATGGCCACTTTCCCTTTTCTCTGGTCACACCCCTGTGCTGGGGGCCAGGGTTGGGGGTTGGCATGGCAGCTATTACAATGGCTCTAACCATCTGGGTATTTCCCTATGAAGGAGGAATCTTTTAGGTACCTGATCCTGCACTGTACTGCCAGAGCAGAGCAGAATAGCTGTAGCACATTAGAAAATTGAAGCCATCATCTCTGAACTTGGTCCCAAAAGTGTAAGGGAGTTTTAAGTGAGTCTAATTTACACCAACATCACATATTGCCTCTGATTTTGGCTCTTTGTTTCTTATGGAGAAAGACCTGCAGGGACAAGCAACTTGCTTGCCTTTGGGGAGGAGAGAACTGAAGACATTAAAGTCTTTGATTTATAGGAGAAGAAATTAATCTTAAATTATCTGGAGCTCCACTGAATGGCTAGCAGAGAGTTAAACAAATACCAACAGCGTGTGAAAAGCTGAGAAAAAACATAATAGAGATTAATAACCTGAACTTGACTAAAAAAACATTGTCCAGGATCCTTAATAAATGTTCTGAGTTTAATGCTACTTATTATTGAACAAGCTGGAAAAAACCGAGACGATCATTCTGAAATTGATGCAGCAAGTAGAGTGAGGCCTATAGTGGGCAAATGGAATATAGTGAGTACATTTAATGAACTAAAGGGTAAAATAAATCAGCTGAGAAATGCCTGTAGAACGGACATGCAGAAAATTAAAGCCTCAGGCTTAACACACGATAGACTGGACTGTACGAAAGGTAACATTTATAAATGGATGCAGAGTTCAGAATTCATCTCAGGGAGTGGAGGTGGGGTGTTTAGGTCCATTCTATAGTGGGTAGTGGTTTCAGCTGGTACAGTAGAAATGGGACTGTCAGGGTCACTAGAGATGGGTGAATCTGTGTGCCTAACTTCAAATTCCTTTGTAAATGTTGGCCTTGAAGGATCAAGTTGGCTGTTACTGGGTTTTTGTTCTGTTGAGGAGGTTTTGAATAAAAAGCAGCAGAGGGGGTGGAGAATAAAATATTGGTCAGTTTCCCAGCAACAACAAAATCAGTGATGCAGAATCTGGGCTGATTCTAACTGTAACTTTCTTTATCTACACATGTACACCAGTCCTGGAACAAAGGTGGTCAAACAGCATGTAGGTCAATCCCTGCTTCCAGGAATTTCAGTCCAACATCAGTGGCTGATTCCTAGGAAGCAACTCTGCCTCAAAAATTGACTATTCAGAGACAAAGATAATGAGCAAGCTTTCCTGCTGCTTGCCCAGCGCCTTCTCTCTTCAAGCTGTCCCTGCACAGAACCTTGCATAACCCAGTCTAGCAACTGCACAGCATATCTTCCTAGTAAAAATTTGCTCACGCAGTAAGAAAAGGAACGTAGAATTCTAAGTATATGAGCACCACCATCTGCCATAACAATACTTACTGAAAAAAGAAGGTGAAAGATGGAGTGAAGAGCTGGGCAGTGTGAGAAAAAGCTACAGAGGGTTCAATTCAATGTTATCCCATGGCCCTTTTGGGTCCAGGTGAAAACACTCTGTCACTGTGGGTCTCTATGCCAGGTGAGATATGCTGGAGTGGGGAGGGGATGGGCATTCCAGGGTGTGACCAGGAAGGGGGTGTGTTTAAGGTGTTTACTGTTCTTATTCCTCAATAGTTCTGTGGATACTGGCTGGGGGAGCTGAGGTCTTACTTTGTAGAACTGGAACATTTGCCTCAGCTAGTGGACAAGCACTGAACTGGAGAAGGACAGGGCCTCCTCACCCTTTATTCAGTCTGGACCTGTTTCCTTGTGAAGTAGCTTGTAGGAAGTCTGTGGTTCTGAGGCTTCAAACAATTGTCTGGCATTTTCCATGGATCTTCAAAAGTGAGGGGCATCTGCATGAGAACGGAAGGGAGCTGGTGCTGTCACCAAGACCAGACGGTCTTCATCCAAGAGTTCAGAAGGAACTCAAATATGAAATTGCAGAACTACTAACTGTGGTTTGTAATCTATTGCTTGTACCAGATGATGGGAGGTTAGCTAACATAGCGCCAATTTTTTAAAAAGGCTCCAGAGGCGATCCTGGTGATTGCAGGCTGGAGGTCTAACTTCAGGGCCAG